ATAGAATCCTTATTCCAGGATCATACCACTATAATGGTAGGCAAATCTAGTTTAAAATTAGTACTGCTTACAGGCCATTCATCCATGCTACGAGTTCTGGAGAGTTTTCTGGCTTTTGAAAGTGCACTTGCTTCCTTTTGATTAGGAATACCATAATTGAATTTTGGAGACAAAAAGATTTGAATTAGTAACAGCAAAGTAATTAGGACACTAGTTAAAAGACTTATTCTTCACAATATCCCTGCATATTATATCTAGGATGTTTCTTGTAAAATCCATTTCATGAGACTTAAAACTCCTTCCACTGAATAGTTAATCAAGTGTTAAATGTACCTCTATGCAATTATCTTAAAAAGAATTAGAAGAATCAGTGAAATATCATTATCTTCTACTCATAAAGAATAGAATGAGTTATTCCCCTTTCTTACGTATATTTCACTGCTGATCAGCTCTACTATAAAAATCCTAGTGTTATCTGCTGCTGAAATCTATAGAAACTTCTCTTTTAAACAGACCTCTTATTTGAAAATACCTGCACTGGAGCAATGATAGGTATGAACAGCATATTTTGGACAGGGTGCTGATCTGCATGTAAGTGATATATCTCATGAAAAATGTCATTACTGCATAGCAGTCCAAAGAAACTGGAAACATGGTTATTTGAAAGTGAATATTTTAAGGATTTGGAAATATGCCTTGTGAATTGATTATGAACTAAACAACAAAGGTTCTCAAAGTGCCTTGAGTGGTAATCTGACCTTCATGTTCGGGGCCTTTGCTTTTGTGTACGGTATCTAGTAATGGCCATTACTGAAGACAACCTCCTGGCCCAGAGGAAGGCCTTGTTCTTGGTTCCTACAGGTGTAAAAGAAGTTTCACTGTGCTAATTTTTTCCAAAGCCTTCCTTTTCTTTTATGTTACCATTCTATTCTGAATCCCAAAGCAATTTGAAATTTTCTCCTAATTTTCTTTACCGTCTTGGAATCTTCATAATGTTCTGACAGCAACAAAATGGTGTAATGTTCTAGGCTGAATGACCGTTGACTGCTAGGCTGTATGTCTAAATTGCTGTTTTTATCTGAGCCAGAGTAAATCCTGATCCCTGGGCCAAGCGCTGTAGGGCCTGTGGAACCATCCTGTGGTGCATCCTCAAGTTTTCCTGCAGTGGGAATGAACTGGTGGACTGGACCTCAGAAGCAAACTGATATGTATCTGCTGTGGACAACCAGGGGGCCAGAGCTGAAGTGATAAAGTTTAGAGACCTCTGCCTCATGCAGGGAGACTGTTAACATAACGCTTTGGCATCCCAGTCATACCTGTACAGAACATCAGTTTACTAACGCTCGGTGCCAGGGTCCTGCTTGTTTAATCAATGTCTTTCTAAATGAGAATACATAGTGCAAAGGAGATGAATAGAGCCGCAGATATATACCGCCTTAATTTCATGGGTTTTGCTTTACAGATTCCCTGACAGGAATTAAGCACATTCTGAAATGATCTTGCCTAGAGGTGTGAAGTTTATTAGCAGTCAAAATACCTCTTAGTATGCTTGCAGTACTTGCATACGATATGAACATACACTTGTAAAATGTACTGGCAGCCAAACCATGCATTATCACGTTTGAAAACAGAAACGTCTCTGCTGGGTATGACACATTATTGCAGGCAGTGGGAAAACGTGGGACAATTCTTTCCCTGTTAGCACAAAATGGCTTCCTTCCAGATAAAAAGGTATTGTAATAGCGTGTTTTCTTCATAGTGTTGTCACGGGTGACCTTTGGCACCTCTGAAATATGAGAAAGTTTCTCATAACCCTGGAATTATGTTTAAAATGCATAGGCACATTAAGTGTTCATTCTAGATGAGGGTAAAAAAGGCATTAAATAGAAGCTCTGTGCAACATATGGATGCTTTTGCATGAACTACGGCTGCTACACAGTCATGAGTAGATTGTGCAGTCTGTCTCCTGTGTGTTTGCCAGCACCCAGAGCGTTATTATCTGCCCTAAGGTCTGGCCATTGCTGAGTAACTAATCAATTTCTTTCATTAGATTTATTACTAATGTATGAGGGCCTTTAATCTGAAAGCACAGATTCTTGTTTTCAATTAGGGGTGGAAGGGGTCCCTAGGAAGGCATATTCTGCTTAAAACAAAGGGTATCGTGTAACAGTGTTTCACATGTTGGGAAGTGGGGAGTATTGCTGGCTAAATCCTAGCTATGCAGCGAGGTCTCAAGGCCAGAAGGGACCAGCAGGTCAGACCATGAGGTCTGACCTCACAGGTTTTAAATTTCATCCAGAATCTCCTAAACAGAGTGCACTAACTTGGGCTGGGCTAGAGTTTTTCAGCCTCATTACTAACACAAAGTCCTAAACTATTGTGTATTATGGGTGGGGAACAGGAGCCAACTAAGATAACCCCCAAGCATCTCCAAAGGAAGGGACTGATGGGTCGAGTGGTCCCTCATACCGCAGCGCGATATAAAAAGCACCAAACGTCCCCACCACTTGGACTTTAGGGCAATTTCCTTTTGCCTAAATTTCCCCAAATCTAGCAACCCGTGCAACTCCGTGTGATTCGGGTCCTCCCGCAGGAAAGGCCGTTACAGCCCGGGAGCGAGGCGAAGCGGCCTCGTGCGTGCTGGGTGGCGGGTGGCCGCACTGCTCCCTCCCCAGAGACCCTCCGGGCA